CCAGATTGGTATAACTGATATTCCTGCACAGGGATTTCCTATAGGGAAAAAAAAAAAAGAATTTTTGTATTCATGAGGCCTGCATTACTGGGCAGTGACCTGTCAGCTGGAATATAAAATAAAGATGTTTCACAGATCAAATGCCCCCTACCATGTGGAACCATTGCCACTGTGTAACTCCTTTTGAGACCTTATCATTCATTTCTTTTTTACCCACTTTTATCATTATTCTCAAATTATTAATTGGTATAGAGGAACTAAATATGAGCTGAATTATTTGTGTTATGTTTTAAATTTTATAATAGTGTTGCTTAACTTAAATAGACATTAAAACATCTGATTTCAACCTGTCTTTTTCTTTACCTTTTTGTTTCCACACGTAAAGCAGTTTCTGACTGGCTTAATTTTCTTTCATAATTCTCATAATAGTCTTAGAGTTGAGTAAGACATCTCAGTGTTCTGAGGGTTATCTTGGCAATGTCTATAAATTATCCTCTATTAGTTCAATTAATTCTGACATGTGTAATTTAGTGCTTGTATGATTCTGAATTACGTTTGTTTAAAAAGGTCTTGAAGAAGCTTCTAACAGCAGAGCGGTATACCATGTGGTCACCGTACTTCTATATTTACAGAATTCTAATATGGTATTTTATCAGCCTTCCTTGTTGGCCTGATAAGCTAATTTGCATCTTCCAAAGAACAGGTTGTACAGATGTTCATGATGGATGGGATGTGAGGGGTGCAGTTTCCTCAGGCCCTGAGGAATGTAGAGCCGCATCAAGCTAAGGAAGGACAAGTCTAGGATTCTAACGACTCTCCTTACGCACCAGCCACAGCCATCCTTCAGAAACACAAGCATAGGAACTGGAGAAAGAAGCGTTGGTAACCACAGGCGACGACCACTTTGTTCAGCACCAGGCAGGGGGAGGGGAATAGAGCAGACGTGACCCATGTTTGCAGGAAGCTGACAGTTGAACGGGAAAGGCACACAGTAAACAAACACAGACAGAACTGCACATCGTGGTGATGGAGGTCTTTTAAAATCTTGCACATTTCTTTGAGGGAAAATAGTGAAGGGAGATATTTTTGGACAGAAACCATTCCTCTTTATAAAGTGCTGTGTACACTGAGGTTAATGGCAAGATGTGACTGGCCGGTAGAAGGTAAAAGAGCTATGTGTGACTGTTCTAGAAGAAAACAGGATGGACCTAGAGGTATTCATCAGGCTTCTCCCGAGAAACAGAGCCAGTAAGATATATAGAGAGACTAAAGTTTATCATAAGAATTGGCTCGTGCAGTTGTGGAAACCCAGGAGTCCCAGGATCTGTAGATCTGTACTCGGCAAGGTAGAGACCCAGCAAAGGGTGTCATTCAGTCCGAGCCTGAGGGCTTGAGGACCAGAGGAGGCAATGGAGGAAGGTCCAGTCCAAACCAAGGAACTTTTTCCAAGTGAAGGTATCAGTGTAGAATTCTAGCAACATACAACTCACAATTCTAACTTGCTTATTTCCCCAAATCAGAAAGGTGCTTTGAGGAGTTTAAGACAAGGCTTCCATGTAAGCTATAAGTACCATAAACAGGCCCCACAAAGCCTGCGTCTCTATAAACATTTACTATAAATTTCTATAAAACAACATTGTAAATTATAAACTACTAGAAGCATTATTGCCACAAAAAAAGATAGATTTCTTAATAAAATCCTTCAAAAGATACCAGGTGAAAGCACAACATTTTTGAAGAAACGTTAGAAAGTTACATTTCATTATTCAGCTTGAGACCAATTTTTAAAGGTTAACAGTATCCTCTACCTATGGTAAATATCTTCCATTATGGAAAGAATTGGTCATTTATTGTTAAAGCAAGGTACAAAAAATATTTGTGATCAGTATCACTTACATGAACATTTGATTTTCTGGATCATGTGATTTCATAAAAATGATCCTTTCAGCACACTCGAAATTCATAATCTAATTCTACATCAATATTAACAGACTTGCAAAGGAGAAATGGAATTAGTATTAAATTCAGCATAGGAATACCATTTTGAATGCAATCATTTCTGCTACTCATTATCTTGGTTGCATTCTAAATACATATTAGGTTTTACAATTAAGTTCTTATATTTATTCTTCTCTAAGTGTCAGTGATTTAAGAATTATTTCCCTCTAAAGCACACCAGACTTTCAAATACATTTTTTTTCTAAATTTTGGTCTATTAAGTACATCTGTTTCCAACTCTAAAAATTGCTAATCTTTCCATCAGCAGTTCTTAGCCAGGAATGCATTTACTTGTAACAGTTTTAGCATCTAAAAAAGAATTATACTGGTATCCACAAAATTTTCTATAGTAGATGAAGAGCTACCATAAAGCGAAGGTCATTTTCAGAATTTTTGAGACGTGAAATAAGAAAGAATTCTTATGAAATTCCAAAGGAGTCATCAAGACACAATTTTTGATTGTCAGTCAACTGTATGGGTACTTTGAATATTTTACTCTTATAATTACTCTACAACACCACTTCTAAATGTGTCGTAAAAATCTTGTCCTGTTATCATCTATTATAAAACAATTAAACAAAGTATATGTAAATAATTACATGTGATTAAGGATTTTTATTTATTCAGTTTTAAGCATTTTAAACATTTCATAATATTTTACAAAAATAACTTAATATGTGCATACCACATCCAAAAGATTCTAAGAATATCACAAATTCCTTCTTAGGAAGTGGAAAGAGATATTAAAAAAAAATACCCATATAAATAATTCAAGCAATGTTTTCCTTTATATCTGATTAAGTTAACTTTCCATCATTTACAATAAAAACTCTTTCATGTATTGTCACTTTCATTCGTTGTTCAAATTCATAGTTTATCTAACTAAAACAAGCACTCAAAAGTTTAGTTGAACAGATTTTCCACAGAAATTTTGCACTTTTGTTTGTTCCAACAACCCTATCCTCATTTTATTTAGTAAGAGGATCACATGTGTGTTAATATATTTCTGTAGGGGCATCGAAATATAGACCCAACTGATGCTGTAAAATGCTACACTGGTTTTACTTTTTTTCATCTATAGAGCTTTGTTAAGCAACTCAAAATACACATTTTCCCATTTGATACCAAAAATATCATCCTTGAACAGAAAACATTAAACATTCAAAAATATATATATATATTGCTTTGCAAACCAACTCAAAACCACGACTTTTCCAAAACCAGTTGCTACATAAACATGCAATTGCTTGGATGGGAAGAAGCCTTAGGAGACTAACATTATCAAGTCTGCACTACCCACTGGTGGCAAGATACAGTAAATGCATGTTTCTTTTAAAATTAAGGCCATTCTGCCCTAAATATTAGCTTTCTCCATTCAATTGGGAGGCCATAATATTATTGGGAAAATGCACATACATTCTAATCATAAATGATTTTTTTTGTGAACTATTTTTCCTGCATAAAATTAATTTACTGTAAATGTTCACACCGAGACATCACGTTCAGTTAGCTACCTGAGTCCATCTATGAGTCCATATGTATATATTTGGATATATATATCCAAAGTGTATGCTAGAAACAAAATGCCTCTGAAAATCCCACATGAATCTATAAAGGAGAAATGAACTGAGTCTCGCTTGTTAGCTTTGTCTAATTTCCCCCTCACTGAGAAACATTCTCGGACTAACCTTGAGTGGTTCTCGGTGAAATTAACTTTTCTTTACAAATGCTTTTTAAAGCAGGAGATGTTTGTTTAAGGATCTTAGCAAAAGCACTTCCTCTTTTCGAATCTCAGTGGCCCTCAGGGTGAACACAGCTTTTTTTTTTTTTTTTTTTTTAGTTGAGCCATCCTGCTACCTGTTGGCAGCTCCGCAGCAACTCAGCTCGGGCCGGACTCCAACCGCGGTTGCTCAGAGCTCAAACCTTTGAGCGAGGTCTTAAGCAACTGAGCTCGGCTGGCCTCACAACTGACTATTTTTTAACTTGTGCATGATAATGACCGTGCTCTGTGGCCATTGGGGTGCCTGCATATGATCCAGAACTCAGCATATGCTGGCAACTAAGCTTCTGGAACATTCCACCATCTGAATTCCGCAGACTTCGGTTAATGTCTCTAACTTGATCACTTGCTGGAAGCAAACCTGAAGAAGCATTCATAGACTTCACTCACAAGGAAGAGTATCGCTTACCAAGTTAACAGCCGATGGAAGAGTGCTTTAGAGTAAGGCACAATTCCACAATTGATTTAGAGACTCAGTTTCTTTAGGCGTCTGTCAGCATACATATGGTGTGTGTAAGTGCGTGTGTGTGTGTGTGTGTGTGTATCTGTATATAAACATACATACATTGCACATGCATCAACTAAGAGTTCAGTCATTTGAGAACATTTAGCATGTCCTTATTTTTGCTCAGTCTTTTGCTTTACTTTGCTCCTTATTCTGTCCCGTGTACTTACCGAGCACAATGCTTTAGTACACAGAAAATGTACAATTAATAGTGTTTAAATGATGAATATTAAAAATAATTGAGAGGGAAAGGGTTCATGACAGAATGTTATTAATGCAAATGCAAAAGAAAAACATAAAAGGAAGTGGCTGACCCTGAATAACGATAAAACCAATATGAACAGAAGCTAAATACACTTGAGATTATCGATATTTTCAGACTGCTTGATCAAAGAATAAGATAAAATTATTTAGTGTGGATGTTATGATGCAGAGCATCATCAGCAATCCCCTCGCGTGTGCCTGAAATGAAGAGTTAATTGTGTCAGGTGGTTGATCATTAAAAACGTGTTATTTAGAACAAGACTGTTTATGGCCTGAGCTTGACTGAGTCCACTAGAGATGCATGAGTTCCAATATTCCTCTTACAGAGGAGGTTCAGTGTTTTAACCTCCATCCCTCTCCTCTGTGGAGCCTTCTGCCTCTGCCCATGCGTGTACACATCGGACAGAGAAAACCCCAGTTTCATTTATTCCTCTATATTGCATGTCTCCATACCTCGTTCACATTTTTTGGCTTGGACGCTTTCAGCTCTTCATACTTCCATTTCCATAAAGATACAGCTGACTCCAGTCGTTTTATTTCTTTTTCCAAAGATGAGCGCCTTCTAAAGAATTAAAAGCAAAATAGACTCACAAATTCAAAATAATTTTAAGAATGTATTTAATTTTAGCTATGCTGTGTCCCAATCTTTTTATGTTTATATATGATCATTGTAATGACAGAAAACCTTTGTCAGCTTAATAAAATTTAAAAACATTCAATAAAAGTTGGGTTAATTTGTTATCCTGTCAATTAGCTTTATAGTAGGTTAAACATATTTCATTTAGTTTTGCACATATCAAAATAATTGACTTTCTCCTATTTTCTCCTATATTTTAATTTAACTGGAGTTACATGTGTAGACTACGGGAATGTTTCTTTCTCAGAAATTAAATAGGAATTAAAGGAAAAGGTATATACAAAATTGATTAACAATTTTTATTAAAGGATATTGATTACATTTGTGTATTAAAGCATACATTCATAAGTTTTCTTGAAATTAATTTTGAAAATTATTTTATTTATAAATAGAATAATATAAAAATTATACCTGAAAATTTGAAAAATGTCAAGACTTTTAAATTTACAAGTTTAAAATCATACTTGTTGAAAAATCAATGCCAGCTTTCAATGTTATATTTTAATAAATCAAATGATAATGTTAGCCAAAAGAATTCACATTAAAATAATGATTTATTATTACTGTAGAATAAGTGCTAATCCTCAAAAATGCCATCCAAATTACTGAGGTAAGTGTTCCTTCTAGGATGTTGTAAGAAAGCTCAAGGAGGACATTTCAAACTAGATATTTATTACAGTTTTAATATTAGTTATATATAAATGCAGATACATTATAAAGATATAACTATATCTAGATTATATCTAGACTTAGCGTATGTATTCCAATTCAGTTCATAACATAGAAATAATGTGATTTTTTCAAAATATATAAAATGAATAATGATTTGTACTTCTTATTTAAGGTAGATTAGCATATTTACCCTCTTGGTATGTATCTTAAATAAAACAACATAATTGTTAGTTTACTGAAAGAAAATTTGTAGTTTTATTATATAAAAAGGTACAATTTAGTCAGAGAAGTGAGAGGAGAGGCAATTCATAAAATTAATGACAATGTGATGTTTGAATATTTTCTAGTAAAGCCTCATCTAACAAATTTTGTGACTATGCAAGCAAGCATTAAGGACATTGCACAATTAAATTTATGCAGCACAGGGACTTTTTAAATCCTAATTTTCTGGCCTAATCAATTTATATTTTAGAGAGTTTTCCATAAGTGATTAGTTATATGTTTAAAAATGTAATGAAAATTTAAACTATCATCATACTATTTGAACTACAAGAAGGCAAAGAAAAAACAAATTTCACACTGAAGGGTATTGCACATTTTATCACAATTCTTTTAACAAAACTAAGATAAAGCTCAGTGAAAATATAGCATTTTAACATGATGATATAAACTTTTAAAAATCAGATTGCTTAAATATATAAAATTTGCAGAATATAAAGATAAAGTGTGAACCAAAATAATTTTTAGGGAAAGTATGATTGTATTTCTATGCAATCTTTGAAAAGTATCATGATCCCAAAATCACTGGAAATAAAATCTAGACACCTAAGCAGGAAGATTGGACAAAATATTTTTCAGGGATTAAAAATTCCTGAAACATTAATATCCAAGAATAAATATTAATCATTTAAAAACTGCGTGAAAATTCATTGTGAAATATCTAATCAGTATTTTCTTAAAGTCCTTTAAATGTCAGATATTTTTACCAGAGAAAAATAATCAACTTATAGTAACATTTAGATATCCATTTTTCTATTCATCCAAAATTTAAACTAAGTATTAAACTATAAATAATAAAAATTTTTACAAAGGTACTTTCAATGAACAGCATATTTCTATTGTCTGATTGAATTCCCAGCTATTTATAAGTAATGTCTTTCAGCATCTTTCAATTTCAGAACCTTTTAGCAAATAGCCAAAGCTATACATAGTTAATTAGAAAAGAGCTATTTAAAGAGTATCATTAAGCTTGGAGACATCCAGGAGGACCAGAGACCCGAGGCTTGGAGGTGATGCACCCAGGAACAAAGCCCACCCACTCTTACTCCACAGAACTGGTCCTGGGAAGACCCCACCACCTGTCACCTTCTCTGCCTGTTGCCTGTACACTCTTCTGGTATCAATTAAGTATCTGACAAGCAAATATACTCATATTAGCTAATTAAGGCAGAAGAGGATATTAATAGTTGAAAGAATGTCTGGAAGAGCCAAAGAAGCAAATGGGAAACCCATGAAGGCAGGAGAAACAAACATAAAGCTATTGAAACCTTCCCATCAGCACCCAATGAGGCCCCCATTAGGGTACAGACAGCACAGCATGACCTCAATACCAACAAGTGGAGACACAGGATGGTGTCAACACAGACCAGAGGCTACTAGCTCCTCTGGAAATAAGACAGAGCTGCCACCACTGCTTTCCTCCTCACCAGAGTGGATCCTGGGTGCTCCCTTTCTTGGAGCACTAGCTTCTGCTAAAAAGACCAGGTGGCTGCCTCCGAATCGCTACTCTCAGATCTAATGTCTGCACTCCAATTGCAAAGGTGGCTGAGTACCTTGAAAAGATGTCTGCACTCCCATGTTCATTACAGAATTGTTACCAATACCCAAGATATGGAAGCAACCTAAGTGTCAGTGGACAGATGGAAAAAAAACATATATATAGTAGAAAAATTGTTCAGCCATAAAAAAGAAGGCAATCCTGCCACTTGTGGCAACGTGGATGAGCCTAGAGGACATTATGCTAAGTGGAATAAGCCACAGAAAGACAAATACTGTATGCTATCCCTCATACGTGGAATCTAAAAAGTTGAACTTACAGAATCAGGTGGTAGAAGAGTGGTTGCAGGTGCAGAGGTGGGTGTGGAAAGTGAGGTGGTGATGCTCAAAGGGTATAAACTCTGCTATAATAAGAGTAAGTTCTGGGAATCTAACGCAAGCATGGTGATGAGAGTTGACAATACTGTATTGTATCCTTAAAATTTGCCAACAGGGTAGCTCATAAGGGCTCTCATCATGCAAAAAATAATAGCTTTGTAGACGATGAATGTATTAATTAGCTTCATTGGGATAATCATTTCACAACATATATGTACATCAAAACATCACATGGTACATCTTAAACATATACAAACTTTATTCATCAATTATGCCTCAGTAAAGCTGAATAAATAAATAAATACCACAAATTACTTTTAAAAAAATGGCAAAGATTTACCTCATATCCCATTGGTGACAGCAGGCTTTACCTTCAAATTTTTAACATTACATTAAATAATATGAACTAGAATTGCATGCCAATTTGTTCATTGTATACACACACACACACACACACACACACACACACACACACACATATGGATTTCTACCTAATGCTTATCTTTGAAGCATGTTTAATATTCTGTACCCTCTTACTAAGATTTTAAATCTCATTTTATTAAGAAAAACATCAACACTTAACGATGCAAAGCAAAATCATGAAAGCATACTACTCTGCTTACACAGAAAACAAATTAAGAAAATAAAACTGAAGGGAAGAACGGAAGCTCGGCTGAAAGGAAACAAAGGAAATGTTTTCTAAGAGACACAAGGACCATCGACCGTTTAGTTGGGGAACTAATTCTAAATGTTAAAACAGTTCATCAACGTATTTTACCTCATCATCTCCCTTACTTAAGATTTGATATTGCCGAAGTTTTTAAATGTTTAGGTGCCCCTAAGTCTCTGAGAGGGTCAGGTCTCCTGTCCTCACCTCAAATTTTCTAGCTGCGGAGTCTTTACCTAAGAGGTCAGAAATATACAAATTCTCAAGACATGAGGAGCTTGCACACACTGGATAATTACACAGGAACCTGAACAGCCCTCTGATACAAATAATGTAAGAAAGTTTAGTGGATTCCCTGAGAGGTTTCCTGTCAGTGACAGTGGCGGAGGCGGTGCCCTGAGTCCCTGAGTCCTCTAGACTCATTTCTGGGCTCCGGTCAAGCATTTCCCCACTAGCTGGGAACACAGCAAAAAACACATTCACATCTTCTCAACCCCAGCCAACCCACTCGCTGAGAATCCAGGAGGAGGAATTAAAATGATTAGACAGATTTATGGCAACAGTCTATTCTGTATCCTTGGGAAACATTCTCTTGTGATAGAAAAAGGCTGTCCAATCGCCCCAAGTGGATTGCATGCTAATGATGATTCATGGACACCTAACGCCCACGGGATAGTTTCTTAAAACAGGGAATGAGAAGGCCACGTACAATCAAAGGCCTCTGCTTCCCATTCCTTGGCCTATGGTTTCCATATTGAAGTTGTTGACAATGGAGAATTTGCTTCTATGGAGGCTGCTAATTTATTCCGAGGAAGTCAAATATACATGGATGTGTGTATGTATATGAATGCCAGAGTAAGGATACATATGCGTATCATTAAAACAGGCGCCTTAGGGAGTTCACCTCTAGGAAGGAGCAATTTCATGTTGTTTCCATTATATTGTGTCAGCGAAGTAACTGTGTGTGTGTGTGGATGTGAGAGAAGTCAATAGCCAATATACTGTAATAAAAGTTACATAAATATGAAAAGAAGAGAGAAGTCAATAGCCACTAACAGGTTAAATCCTCCAAGAAAGAAAACACAGTTTAGAATTTGAGTGAGACCTACAGTTCCAGATAAAGTTAATTGTTAAGATGGGTGCAGGCCTAAAAATTAATTCAATTTTATTCCCTTTTCTACTAATATTGATTGCCTCTATTGCAAATCTATGCTTGCTGGTACAATAATAAATATTTGTCCTATGTATATACCCAGATCCTTGTATTATAACAATCTATTCATATAGTGAGGCATAGACAGAGAATCTGAAAAAGGAGTTAGTGGTGTGAATAAATTTGTGAGGGACTAATGAGAAACTTCTGGCTGACAGAAAAGGAATGGCAGATAAAGAATGTATAGCTCTTGTGGAATATGTGTGTGCATACATATCACTATTTCAATCCACTTAAACCACGGACGTTGAAGCCATTATATAATATATAATTATATTCATATATATTATATAATACTCCCATTTTTTTTTATTGTGCCTTTTATGAGTCTTATAACTAGAGAGTTGGTAAAATGTTTTTCAAATTTGGGGACAACATTTTAAAGTGCATCAAATATTCTATAAATATTCCCTCAAACAGGAACAAAAAAGCATATTGAGAAATTGATATTAGTGGTCACTTTCCCAGACTTATTTGTGTTTGATCCTTATAATACTTTAGTGCAGAAGGCAATAGCAGATTGCATTTCCTGAAGATGGCTGCCACAATGGTCCCATCCTACATGCTCTTATTATAACATGACCTTGACATTCCTCCCGTGGAGGGAGCCCCTCTTTCTTGAACCCAAGTCAGCCTTTGACACTGTCTCCACCATAGCAGAAGTGATGCTCTGTGACTTTTGAGGCAAGGTCAGTAAAACACCATTGCTCTCTGTGCCTTTAAGACGTTCACTTGCCACCTAGCTGTGAGGAGGTCGAGAAGTCACACGGATAGGCCACACGCAGGGGTTACCACTGAGGCCCATGAGGAGATCTGAGGTCAGCTGCCCAATTTGGGAGTGAGTGAGGCTTCCGACTCCCAGCCTTCAAGTCACCCCCAGCTTTTGAGCTACCCCATCAGAAGCCACATACACAGCAAAGCCATTCTCAGGAGTCATGAACAGATGCACAGTGATTATTGTTTCAATAACCATTGTTTGGGAAGTTCTGTTCCAAAACAATAGAAAACTGGAACACAAGCATAGCTAGCCATAGTTTTACAGAGGACAAAATAGCACACTCTTGGCTAACTCAAAATCATATAGCTGGAATATATCAGAGCCAACATGAATAGCCAAGTGATTGAATCTCAAAGTCTGGTGTTCTCCCCTATGTACCAAAAATGGTCAATGAGTAAGGCATCTTTTTTGTGATCGATATCTCACAAAATTGTGATTTGTCTGTTATTATTATTAACATATTTTCACTTTATTGACTCACTGTAGTCTATAAGGCTGTAAAAAATAGATAATGCATTGGCTAGTTTAACCATATATATTAATAATTCACATATAATTAAGGTCAAGCTACTAGAGAGGATGACAAAAAAGCTACAATAAAAGAATGATAAAAATTAATAAATTATAAATTACTCTTTTAAATGTAAAAAATGAGAACATATCAAACTCATTTTTTAAATATTAGAACGGAATGACTAACCGTGGGTAAAATCCATCATCAAATGGCCAGTTTTCTAGACTTAACAATTTAAAGAAGTTTGAAAATCAGACCTGGTTAAGGGAAGGCAGTGATTTTACACTCACTCTCTTTCTTTCCATAAGATTTTTTGGAACTCATCCAGTTGCACCTGCAAAGCTGAAATTTCAGGCACTCCATTCTCTAAAGGCAAATTTAGTGCTGGCAGTCTTAATCCAGGTTTCATTGCAGAATTTTCAGAACCACTGTTCTTAAATAAATCAGGACAATCTAGATTGAGTTTCATCTCCTCAGTTAATCTTAATGGGTCAAGCATCGAACCTTCTTCCTAAAAGGAATTAAAAAAACAAAAAACAAAGCAATTATTATGGAATTTTTAAATCTCTCAGTAGAAAAGTCACAAAGAATACTTCCATATTTTTGAAAGGAAATTAATGTTATGATTCAGGATCAAATTCATTATTTTCATTTCTTTATCATTTTCTAACAGTGTTATATGGCCAAACTTTAACTTGCATTCTTGAACCATTTTTTTGCCTATGTTCTACCTTATTATAATAAAATACATTTCTCAAAAAGCCTGCTTTAACTTTGTCTTCTTTTTCTAATGACAGCTAAAAATAGCCTTGCATAAACTTAAACAGATGTAAAGAGTTATTTAATGAGCTTATGAATTTCTCTTTAAAGTTTATTTTGTCACAAGACACTTGAGAGTTTCAAAGTAAAGCCAACTGGTTGTTTTTTAACATCTTTGGAGGACAGAGTAGAAAGAATTTTCAAGGAATTCTTGAATGTTTTAATAGGCTTGTTTATTCAACTATTTTTTTTAGATCACTAGCTAAATCTCAAATAAAATTTAATGGGACATTTTAATATACATAAACATCATGTATTGGAGCAGCACACTGCATTAAAATCTAATATCATAATTCCAAAACTTCACCAAACCCATGCTATAAACATTTGTCTATAATTTAAATTTGCCCTAATTTACAGGTTATGAGATAAAGCCAAGTTCAAATAAAATTTCAATTAATAGTCAAGTTCAAATAAAATCTTATTTATTTTTAAAATAGTACAAGGATGTTAGGTTACTAGCATGACTCTTCATTCTCTGAAAAATTAATAGGGTTATTATGTATCTTATTTTTAAAAATAAAAATAAGACATGTTATTCTCCTTGGAGAATACTGTGGTAATACAATTTATTCATACATAAGCACCTTTCTCATTAGGCTTAGAGTTGGCAGGGAAATGGGTAAAAATAAAAACAACTAATTGAAGCATCTTTAACAGCCAATACTTATTTCACTACCATCACAAGGAATTTTAACTATGTTTGTTTCCTGAAAAAACAAACTTTTAATAAATACCTACTATGTATGATCTGTTCTTGACACTGAGGATACAAAGAAATTACAAATGAAGTCCCAAGATACTGAGAATTTCTCAGCAAAATTTATTTGGGAAATCTTTCACATTCTTTAATGCAGTGTCTATTATTTGTAATAATAAATAATTTGTACATTCAGAGCAACTTATGTAAGCTGTATGTCCTCATTACCGTCACTACATTCAAATGCATACATAAATGCAACTGAATTTTGAGAATATACAGCATTTTCCCAAACATGTACACAATGGGACTAACAGACTAGATTGTTATATTTTTCTAAAAAACATTTTAAACAAACCTGGAAAGCTGAATAAGCATAAATAATTACATTATTGCAATCTTTTAACATTTTTCATTTAGAATGAAATTTAGGTTATATTTACCATAACTTCCATACATCATGGAAAGCCTTAAAATTGTATCTGGAATTCTAGAAGAGCAATTTTATGTTTTTAGAGATGGACTTAAATAGAAAGGAATAACACTTTAAACTGATCCTATAAAAAGAGAAAAGTTTCCCAAAGTGTATTCCATGGGTCGTTAATAATATTTACCAAGTTAAAGGAGGGGGCGTGGTTCATAGATAAATAAGTGTATGAACTGCTAGACTAAATGAAAGATTTTAAAAGGTAATTTTGTGCAGAATTTTTAGGAACTTCAAGAGTCTATGTATACCAAGAAATTCCTAGAGTGGGCAGTACGAAGCGTTTCTTAAAGGTGTTGGCCTGTGGTGCCCATTTTATAGGAATTCACTGTGAGGCCCAAGTCCCAAACCACACTAAATGTTCACACAATAATTTATTATTATTGACATCATTGGGATAAATGGAGAGAAATCTCTCCAAATAGTTTCTTTTCCCATAGAAAACGCTGGGTTAATTTTTGCTAAAAAAAAAACATTTTTAAGATCACCAATATGGGCTGCATTTTGTCCTGTCAAAATTCCTGACCCCCAGGACCTCAGAATGTGACTGTATTTGGAGACAGGGTCTTTAAAGAGGTCCTGAAGTTAAAATGAAGAGATTAGGATGGGCCTGGTGGTGGAACACTAAGAAGAAGAATCTAGGGTCCAGACACGCACAGAGAGAAAAGACGATCTGAAGGCACAGGGAGAGGAGGGCCACCCGTCAGGCCTGAGAGGCCTCAGAATAAACCAACCCTGCTGACACCGTGAGCTCAGCCTTGCAGCCTCCAGAACCGTGTGGAAATTAATTCCTGTTGGTGAAGCTACCCCGTCTGTGGTACTTAGTTGTGGCAGGTCGAGCAAACATAGTCACCACTGGGTTTATGATTCTCCCCTTCCTCCGCATCTCTATACAGGGCGTTCCAATATGCCATAATGCCTGGGTTCCTCTGAGGGCTTTTTCCTTACCTTACTGTCTGTGTTCTCCTTGGAAGGAAATGCTCTTTTCACCAAACACTCTCTGATCGATGCACATGTTTGGGAACCGGTTTGAAATTGGTCTCTTTGTGCATAGGACAGTTCTGTGAAACCGGGACGCTTCGGGTCCTGGGTCCCTCTAGCTTCTGATGCCTCCTTGTGATGTGGCAAGCTCTGCTTCTTTTTCAGCGCACTCAACTCTTTCATTGTCATCTCTAACTTTATCCTGAGTTGTCGTCCTTCCTCCCGGGCACTGTTCCTTTCGGCGCGAACTTTGCTCCACTTTTCTCTCCAGTTGGCAGTGCAGTCGGACCACCAGCGCATGGTCTTCTCCATCTGAGCCGCTCTGGCCTTGACTTCTTCAAGTTCCCGCAGGCGGAGCTCTTCACAAATGTCCCATTCGTTGGCGCTGCTCGAGCCAGCACAGTAGTGGTGAGGGCCATGAGACCGCGGCCCACCAAGAGGCAAGCAGGATGTACAGGTATCACGCGGGCACGAGGCAGGCGCCACCATGTCACAAGGTGGTTTGGCTGATGACTGCTGCATCCGGAAGATCTGTGTTTCCTCAATTAAGCGGTAAATGGAATCGACATTCATATTTATCTTCTCAGGCCTAAGAAAAGACAGAAAACGTAATTAACATTTGAATTTCCCATTCAATTTTAAGGGCAAGGCTTGCATTAAGAAAAAGAGCTGATGAAAACAATGCACCTTTTCAATAGTGCATATTTACTTTTCCAGCATAACTAAAAAGATAAAGGGATTTATAATTTGTAATTATCCTCAAGGAAACAGAAATTGCTCATATCGAATCTTGCCAAACAAATCCAAATAAAAATATAAAGATGCAATTGTGCATAGCATGTGACATGATTAATTCATTTTAACAAATCTAATTCTATTCATGTAATATTTACTGTAACAGATATTGTCCATCCACTACTCCACAGTCCCCATTTCCCCTGCTAACTAAAGAACACTTTGTTCAGCTTGAATGCAGAATCTATTGATCTCTGGGGTGATAAACCCCTGTCCCAGAGACTCAATCATGATTGGTCTAAATCTTCCATAATAACTTCCATTTTATTGACCACTCACTGGTCTCAAGGGAGCATATGACCTAGTTCTCCTCATGAGACATGAGGGAAAGTCTGCTGGGAAAGTTTCCCATCCACAAAAATTTTAAAACATCAGAATGAAAAAACCTTTTTCCTCTGCTTTCTTCTTGCCTGAACAAAGACATGACTCTGAAAGAAGGCGCGTATACCAGCCACCTGTGACATTTAAAATGGCAGAACAGAAAGATGAAAAGAATGCAATGATTGAGTTCTACATGAAACCTAGAATGAACATCTCTCGTTTCCTTGCTCTATGAGAATAATTATCTACATTCCCTTAAGCTTCCGGTTACTTGCAGTCAAAAGGATAGCTAACTAATACATGAATTAACGCCTACTATGGTTAACACTATGTTAAGTTATAAAAGTAAAATGTTTTGAATAACATGTGGTCCTTAAAGATTTTATAGTCCAGAGAATGAGATAAGCATATATAAGAAAAAAATACATAATTCACAGAATCAAATTATATTTATTCATCAATCTTCTTCAGTACATATTATGTGTGAAGTCCTAGGGGACAGACCAGGTGCTCTTAACAACACAGCTAAAAGAGTGATGAACTATCTTCTAGAAATGAAGAGTGTTCACTGCATAGATAACACTGAACAAAGTCTCAGCAATTTCAGAATTTCATAGAGAAATTAAAAACAGCTTTCAATATAAAATAGCAGAAGACAAATTAATTGGTAACTGTAAACCCTTCTTATCAATATGCACATCTATTACTTATTCAATATAGCAGCCCTGCTATATTGAGGATATGGCGATTAGAATCTTTAAAATAAATGCTTAAAATGTGCAGATTAACCTACAAATTAATAAATTCTGTGTTTCGGTAAGGGTACCCATGTTTATGATCAAATAAGATTTTCTGGTGTAAATAACATGTTATGTGCCTTACACTAATTCCTCTCATTTTTTTCATTTGCTTTTATATAGTTACAGATCATAAACTGTCTCTTTATGAACCATCCATTTAATCAACTGAAGGGGTTTCATTATAACACCAACTTACAAAATAAGTCTCTATTCAGTAAAAATATGACTATATAATAGTAAATGTGTATCGCTTTCAGTTGTAGAAAAAAAGAACACATTTTAACAAGTGTTCTGTAGAGGTGCCAAACAAATTCACTCCTGACTGTAATACTTATTACACTCATATGAGTTCATGGTTGTAATTATTTTTGTTAGCATTGGTGCATGTTCAATCATATCTTAACTAGTGCTGCTTTGGAGCAATTGTTCCCTTCATTTACTGTAATTTAGAGGACAATGAGAATATAACCAACCAAATTTCTTGGACAATTGGTAAACCAAGACCAATGTTAAAAAAGAAAAGAACAAAGAACAAAGGGAACTTTTAATTAAAAACACACCAAATATTATATATAAATATATATATATATAATATGTGCGTGTGTATACATATTCATTATTCACTATTGAATGAATCATTCCTTTTAGTTGAAATTCCAAAATGAAGACAGAAAATGTATTTCAGCATATTAAATTTACATTTATCCTTGCCATTTTTCAAAATACATCAGTACCATAAAATTGTAATGTCTTTTAAAATGTCTCATTAACTTTTATTTCACTAGTGTTTTGAAGACCATGTAATTGGATTCGGGTACACTGAAATCTTGCCTACCAATTACCTATGTATTTTTTCACATCTGACCAAACAAAATGGAGTTGGGTTTAATCATTCAGTCCTTGAACTTGAATAGTATTTCCTATTCGAAAGTGTTTCTCAAGCAAGTGTAAATGGAGATATTTAATCCTCATGTGTATTTATGACATCACTAGTTTTCCCTGTACGTATGTGTGTACACTTCATGTTTTATTTCAGATGACTGTAGAAGTATTTGTCAGTGGTTGTAGCACAAAGCCTTTGATGTATGAAAAAATATTTTCATGCTATTGACTCTTTGGTTTCTGTATTGTTCTCACCACAAAAAATGGAGGGGAAGCACAAGGAAACTCTAGGAGGTGATGGATATGTTTCTCACCTTGAGTCCAGTGCCAGTTTCACGGGTACATGCTTATGTCCTAACTCATCAGATTATATACATGAAATATGTGCAGGATTTTCTAACAATTACACCTCAGGGAAGTTGTTAAAAAACGTCCATACATTCAGGCTACCATGATTACGCCAAGTACTTTGTGTGTGTGTGTGTGTGTGTGTGTGTGTGTGTGTGTGTGTGTGTGTACAAGTCTTTGTCCTGATATGTACTTTATTTTTTCTTGGGTAAATATAATAGCTAAATCATAAAGAAGGCATACATTTAACCTCTTTAGAAAATGACAAACTGTTTTCCAAAGCAGTTTATAGAATTCCCACTCCCACAAGCAGTTTGTGGTGTTTTGGGGCCACATCCCACCCAAAACAGTGTATGGTTAGAGTTTTTACTTTTGGCCATTTTCATATACATGCTGTGAGGTTTTTTTAAATTTAATTTGCATTTACATATTTAATGATGTCGAACATCCCATGTGCTTATTTCTATCACATACATCTTTGGTGAAGTGTCTGCTGTAATTTAATGGAGTTATCTTCTAACTATTGAATTCTATGAGTTCTTGATATATTATAGATACAAGCCCTGTATCATAGTTATGATTTGCATATATATTCTTTCAGTCTATCACTTGTCTGATCATTCTCAACAGTGCCTTTCAAAGAGCAGGGGATTTAAACTTTCTTGGAAAATGTTCCATGTGCACTTGAGAAGAATGTATATTCTGTTGCTTTGGGGTGAAATGCTCTAAAAATATCAATTAAATCCAGCTGGTAAAGTGTCGTTTAAGGCCACTGTTTCCGTGTGGATTTTCTGTCTGGAGGATCTGTCCATTGGTGACAACGGAGTGTTGAAGTCCCCTACTATGATAGTATTGCTGTTGATCTCTGTCTTTATGTCTGTCAAAATCTGTTTTA